TTTCTCCTCTCATTACTATTTTTTTTGGGGGGCGGGTACCGGGCATTGAACTCAGGGGCATTCAACCACTGAGCCACATCTCCAGCCCTTTTTTTTAGTATTTTATTTAGAGATAGAGTCTCACTGAGTTGCTTAGCGCCTCACCGTTGCTGAGGCTGGCTTTGAACTTGCAATCCTCCTTCCCCAGCCTCCAGAGCCACTGGGATTACAGGCATGTGCCGTTGGGCTGGCGACTCATTAATCTTGTGTTATTTTCTGTTGATAACATTTATTAGTGCCTATTATGTACTGGGCACTTGCACTAAGTTCTTTATGTACATTATCTCCTTTTAACTTCAAAATAGCCTTTATATATATGTATATATATCTAATTATTATCTTCATTTTACAAATATGGAAACTGAGGATCAGAGTTAAGTGACTTGCTTAAGGCCTCACAGCTAACAGATGATTGAACCCCATTGCAAATTAATCTTCATTTGACCATAATTTCCTACTTAATATTTACAGTTAGCAATAAAAGGGAGGGGATTGTAATAGGAAAGTGGTGCATTGAGAGACTGGCAGTGCCAATTGGGGCCATATGGTTTTTAAAAACGTTTGCATATGTGTGTGAAGCTGGAGATTCATCTGGGTCTTCTGACTTTTCACCTCAGCCTCTACCTATCTGTCTTCTTCCACCTGCCGCATATGGTCTTTGCTGTCCCAGGTGGTACCTGCCTGCTGTTTTCAGGGGCTGGGATGATTTTAATCCCCTTGCAAATTTAGCGAAAAACTACTCTGCATTACAGCTTTATCTCTGAACTCATTTGCCACCCAGAAACAGGGTTTGCCCACTTTCTGGTGTCTACCCAGACTCAATTTGCTAAAGTGCTTTCTGACCTCATTTTCTCTCCCCAGTTGCTTGCAACACCAGCTGAAAAAGTTTCTAGGACAAAGTCACCTGGTCTGTGTGCTGGTGGTGGCAGGTGTGTTCTTGCTGATATGGGGTGAGTAAGACAGGAATGTGTGTGATTGGCATGATTCTTAACAATTAGGGAGAATGTCCAGCCCTGCAAGACCCAGGGTGGTAACATTTGTGTTGGGAAATAAAGTGAGAGGCAGAGGAAAAGAAAAGACAGAAAGTTAATGAAGAATTGGTGATGTGAGGAAAGGCTTTAGTCTTGCCCTCTGTATGGTTTTCCCCTGAACTGGTTATTTGAGGAAGTGAGTGAGTTAGGGAGTTTTCTCCTAGAATCCACTCATAGCACCTAAAGGGTTCTGGAAGTAATGCTGCAAAGTCAGGGCATTCTGGGCAGAATCGCTTATCTGAAATATGGCCACAGATCATGCGGGGGTAAATGAAACAAGCCAGAGTGCCAAGGATCATCTTGGGTGGTGCTTGATTAATAAAAGGTGAAAGAAAGACTGTAACGCAGAGTAGAGAGTGTTGAGTAACTTCCATCTCAATCACAGCTAACATTTATTGAACACTTAATATGAGCAAATGGATGCACTAAGAGCTAATGGACGTGAATCATCTCATTTCTTTTTCAAACAACCCTCTGAGGTAGGTACTACTATTATCTTCAATTTACAGACAGAGAATTGGAGGCCCAGAAGCATAAGTGACACACCTAAAGCATACAACTATGGAGGGGAAGAATCAGAATTTGAATTTTGACATTTCTCAAACCTAAGCCTGTGAATTCTTAACTTCGCTGCTTTACTGCCTGTCCTAATTCGGAAGTGTTATTAAAGTATAACAGAGTGAGGAGGAAAAGCGATCAGCTATTCAGGATCTCATAATCCTTTCGAAGGTTTGCAAAGTTCTTCTGGCTCGACTGTCTTATGGAGAGGAATAAGAACTGGTGGGATTAGCCCTATGAGGGTCCTCCACTGCCTGTTGATCTTACTTGTTGGTTTGAAATAATTGCATGCTGTAAAAACCTGCAGCCATTTCTCAAGTTTTCTTTTTACACAATCAGCTTGGAAGGGATTTAGACATGTAGGCACAATGGGCCAATTTTTTCTCTCTCTTTGGCTGGCACCATGAGGTGTGACTCTATTGGTTCCACCCTAGCATTCTGGCTGGCACAGGATGCATCAGAACTCTTTGAGCCAACAAAAAGATCCTGATGAGCTTGTTTTTCAGATGAGCCTAGGTGAGCAGAACAGACTTTGGGTTTAAAAAGCTTATGCATAAAATGTTAAATGACTTTTTTTCAGAGTGCCAGTTCATTGGTGAGTCTTTTGAAAGAGGTATTTTACCAAATGGTATCCTGTGACAACAGGTTATTTATGCCCTCTTAGGGGCTAACTTTATACTTAGTATTATCCTAGCCTGGACTCATCATAGACTCAAGTTTAATAATAATACCTGTTACACTCTCCTGCAAAGGTTATCACTGCTTCTGTGTTTTGTAGAATGTTTCATGCACGCAGGGCACAATAAACAGTCAATAATAATATTTACTATGATAATGATCACCCAAATGCCTTTCATCTAAGTCTCTCAAAGTGCTTTGCAAACACTAATTAGTTAAGCTTCACAGTGGCTCTCTGTTTTTACAATACATTTTCCCATTTTACAGAATTTTAAATTGAGACCCAGAAATTTAAGTGGCTTGCCCAAAGTCTTACAGCAAGGTTAAATTAATGTTAATGATGATGCTTTGCATCTACTCAGCCAATGTTCTCTAAGGTGATACAGTATGTTGCAAAGATAATTTTCATACTATCCTGGAGGAAGGTGTGCAGCAAGTATTGCTAGCTGTTGACTAGGTTGGGTTAACTGAGGCAAAGGGGGCGAGTAACTCAGGAGAATTTGACTGAGGTTACAAGTCCAATCCTGTGACTCGAAGCAGAGGGTGGCATCCAGGAACTTTTCAGTTCTCTTAACGGAAGGATACATGGTTGCTTTCACACTCACAGGAAAGATAGTTATATTTCTGGGAGTCAGACAGGTTGCAGAATGATGCCGCATTTATGTTTAGGAATAGGTTTGTTCATGTCCTTACTGAGAGAGGCGAAAGGGATAAGATGAGCAGTTCAAGAAAGAGCATCTCAGAGAATGAAGGAAACAAGGGTGGTGGGGAGGCTGCCAGCTCTGCCCTTTCGCAGGACATCTTCACTAACTATGTCCTCCCCGAAGCAAGAGCCCTTCAAGGCTTGGTTCTGTTTCAGCCTTATGACAGGCCTTGGTCCAGAGTGGCTTCGAGGGCACTGGCACCTTAGTCTGAGGTTACAAGTCTCTGCAGAAGAGTGCCAAGGACATCCCGTATCTTGATGGCTTTCTCTTATGTATAATCAGCTCTTGTCTTAATCCCCTGTGCCAGAAGGGCCCTGTGAATCCTGAGAGCTGTGCACCTACTCATTGCTACCATTTCTTAGCAACACAGCCACACACAAAAAGATGAAAACCTGAAGAAAGTATGTGAAGTTGATAAGGGACTTGCTTCCTCCCAGTCTGGCAACTTGTCCTTAGTGAGTATTGACACTCCTGAAAGGCAAGTCAGACTTTTGCAAGGAGGGGGAGGGACAGGTTGCTGGACCTTAGGAATTCAAGGGGAGATTTGCAGACCCAGAGATAGAGCTCTTTTCTCTATAAACAAGGCATGTTTGAGAAAAGTTTGCTCCCCTCCCCCACTTTGCCTTTGCAGGCCTCTGGATTCTGATTGATGACTAGACCAGGGCTAATGGAGACTTAAAGAGGAGTGCCAAGCCCTTTTCTGGAATGTATTCACATACACACACACACACACACACAACAGCAATAAAGTCTGCTGTGAAGAAATCACAACAAAGTCCAGCTTCTCCCCGCTCTCATTTTTGAATGTTCACATACACCCCTACCACATGGGTGGCTTAAAGGTACAGTGAACTGGAGAAGGGCTAAGCTTTTGGAGGGAAAATTTCAGAAAATTGTTCCAAATGTATAAGCTCTTCTCCTATGTGAGGAAGTCCTGTGCACACCCCCGCAACACAATACTATTTGTCAGAGCAGTTTTGGGACCCTCCTCCCAGTATTAAAGCTTGTTTTAGGCAAGACTTCAAGGAATGCAGCTTTGATTTTCTAAGCATGCCAACAATCTAAGCCACAGCCTCTGTGTCCACTTTGGCACACTGACTCCAGGGGTGACAGTGCAAATAATCCTGCTGGACCCACAAGGACCATGTCCTTCTCTTGAGATGTTCCCTTACACAGCATCCCACAACAAGGCTAGCCAGGTAAGATAAGGTTCTTGGGGTGTGTTTGCAGAGCTGGACAAAGGAATTTGCATTATCTAGACACAAAAAGCATTATTGGGTAATCTCCTCTGTGGTTTCACAGGGTCGGTTGTTTTTCTATTGCAGACCCTGACACGTATTTTTTGCGTGTTTTATTCGTTTTGTAAAGTGAGACACATCTGCAGGACTTCTACACACATCTGTTGAATTTCACAGCCCAATCTTCGCTATCAGTCAGTCTACCCACATAGACGCTTCGCTCTCAAATGATCTGGGGTGTCAAGTATCTTGATAGCTTCAAACAGATTATGAATGAGCAATGTCATAATAGAGCTTTATGACTAGGAATGGGAAGACAGATTTGGGTAAAATTCAAACAATATCTGACATTTGGAAACTTTTTAGAGATCTCAAAAACAACCAGCAGTTGGATTTGTTTTCTCTCTTTTTCTCACCCTCTGGGCATTTCTCATGCACAGGTTTGGACTCAGAGCAGCAGAAGTGAAAGGCCCAAAATATAATCTAAAAGGGGTTCCTTATCCTGATAGCTGTAAACAAGAAGTAAGGAGAATTTAGAAAACTTTGGAAGTTTTAAGGAATTCTCAGATGGATTAGGTAGGTTCTGGATTCCTTCATGTCTCAGCAAAATGATAATTGTTCACGGAAACTTATCTCTAGGGAATTAATGGTGGCATTCCAAATGTAACTAAGAGAAGACTATCCCTGGCTCCATGTATATACACACACAACCTCCAAGTGGACATGATATTAACAATTAAGATCTTTCTTACCCCGTCCATGTGGATTCTGATACTGGGCACAGGCCGGAAAGGGCTGGCCTGCAGACCTCTGGGGCTGGTCCTGCTTTTTCTGCCGTCCTGTGAGGTTAGCACGCCCAGCCTGCGGAAGGAGCCCACTTTCCCGGAGCTCTGTCCTGAACGCACGCCATCCAGAAGACGCACCAGCAGCAGGTTGGCCGGCAGCGCCTCGATGCTGCAAAACACCAGGGTCCTGCATTCTGGACACCTCAGCTCCTTGTGGGCCTTGAAAATCCTCTGTAGACATGGTTTGCAGAAGGTGTGCTGGCAAGGAAGGACTTTGGCTGTGACGTCGAGCTTTTCAAAACACACAGGGCACTCCAGAAGATCAAGTAACGTCAAATCATCCATTTTATTTTAAAACTCCAGCCCGGTCCCTGAGGAGCAGGGTCCACATCGTAGGGGCAGTTGAGCCAAGCTGGCAGAGAAGGGTCTCTTGAGAGCGTCAGAATTCCTGCCTGTTTAAAAAGGAAAGGAGGGAAAAAATGTGACTGCTCTGAGAGGTATATCCCACCTACATTGAGGCAGTGTCTCATAAGGCTCTTTGCAAGTACTCTGTTCCGGAACCCAAGTTTCATATGAGTCATTCTGATTCAGTGCTAGCAGGTATAAAACTCCACTGGTGCCTGCTGCAAGAATCAGAGGGAACATTCAGCACAGCAACTGACTGCTCCTTGTCTCTGTGCGTCGGAGAACGGGGAGAGAAAACTGAGTTGCCCAAGGGGTTAGTCCTGCGCCTCTACCATCCAGGGCAGGAAGGGGTCTTTTACCACTGCCTGGTGGAAGCTCTGGAACAGTCAAATCTTAATTCTCAAATCAAAGCTCGGTCAGATTGTAATTTCTGCGACACTACCTATCAATAACTCCGTCTTTCCCTAGATTTAAGTTTGTGTGTTGTCTGCATCACGTGCAGATAAGTTTAAGTAGGTAAGTTTCTTTGAAACCCATGCAGATGTAGGATCACGTCCTTCACAATCTATCTTCCTCCGCTATTTCGTTCTGGCAACATACAAGTAAAACTACTACAAACTAATGTGCAAGAATTGTTTTGCGTTAAGCACAGGCTAGGGTACTTGAAAGCGCTCCCCCGCGCCCCCCGCCCCCCGCCCCCCAGCGCCTGATTGTCTTAGCCTCAGACACAATCTTCCTCCCACAAAGTAAAGTCGTGCAGCCTGTTTAGTTACTTCAACAATTGTTCTCAGTTTCAGCGGAAGCAGATAGGAATTCTGGATTGTGGTCACAACCTGTAAAAACCAAGATGAAGCAGCATGTGCAGGTAGGGTGTGTGTGTGTGTGTGGTCTGAAAACAATCCTGGTTTCAGAAACAGATCCCTTTTGGATATCTGAAACCAAGCCTCCAGTTTAGAAAAGTCTCCTGGGACGAAGACAGCTGTTCCTCCGCGTGCCAAGGCTTGGGCGAGCGCCGCAGCCGGGAGGTTTGGCAGGAGGGTGGCCCCGCGTAAGCAGGGCAGACACGACCGGCGGGGATGAGAGATGGCGCCTCGCCTTCCCAGGACTCCTCTCCAAAGATGTTAGCGCGCGCTGCGGGCGGGGAGGCGCGGGGGCCACTAACCTTGTGCCTCTAACCTCGGCGGAGTTCTGCTCAGCAGGTCTTCGGCTCCGCTGCTGCGCGCCCTCCAGCTGGCTTCCCTTCCCCAAGTGCGCGGCTGCCACCGCTTTCAAAACTTTTAACAACTCAGAGTCCTACTCACTTCAAGGGATCGCCTTACCCGGCCCTGTTAACGCTTTCGCCGCCAGGCTGCTGCCTATCAGCTACGCTCTGCTGCTCGTCTTTCTTTTATGTCTCTGAGTCAATTTCTGGGGAAAGATTATCAGAAGCAAAATAGAAGCCATCCCAGAAAGCCAAGTATTGACAAAGTTTGTATTTTCATTTTCCCTATTGTCTTTCCTATCCAAGAAGTCGAAACCTGCTCAGTTATAAAGATGCCAAGATGATCTTGTTTATTTAAGCCTTTATAAGTTTTTCCTGAGAAGTTCAAACATTAATGGCAGCCACGATAAAAAGGATTAGCCAGACACAGAGGAAAGACTGCTCCTTAAAGACCATGGCCAGTCCCTGAAGTTAGAAATAAGAGGGACTTCAGTGACCTTTGACTCAATCTCTTTAATTTAAAAAGAAAAAAAAAAGTAAGTGTACAATACACATACTTGAAATCAAAGTACAGAAGTTTCTTTCTTTCTTTCTTTTTTAACCAAGGAAAAGCAATTGTCCCAGTTCTTCTCCGGCCCTCTACCCACTGTAGTCTTTTCATATCCCAGATAAGGTCTTATACTTCCATTTTTGATTTGTCAATAGTGCATCTCATGCAAAGTTACAAAGGATTCCAATTGAGTAAGTAAATAATAATAATGTTACCTAACACAGGGATAGCCTTATCTGTGTCAAGCACTGTTCTAAATACCTTACCTGAATTCACCTGCTTAACCCTTTTAACAACCTAAGGATACACTAAACTCTTTACCTTCACTCTCCAGTTGAGGAAACCAAGACACACAGAGAGAACTCATCCCCAGAGTCACCACTGCTAGCAGAAGGTGGTCTGTGCTCTTAACTGCTGTGATAGAATGATATAACTTCAAGAGGAGAAGAGATGGTTCAAGGAAGCTAAACGTCATTTAGGATGGCAAGAAGTCAAAATATAATGACCAAAATTGACCAATCAACTCTTGCAAACGAGGCATCTCTGCCCAGAGAGATCAAGAGATTCTTTGAAGTTGTCTGGTGAGTTAAGGACAGAAATGGGGCTTAGAAACTGATTGTCTTTTTAAAAATATATTTTCTGTTTCAAAATAAGTACCCATTTCTTTATTATTTGGAAAACACTCAGAGAGGTACGAGAAAAATCTTAAGAGGAGACCAAGAGGCCTGAAAACACTATTGTGGTTTTCTTATCTTTCAAAGTTCTTTCATGTCATCTCTAAAAAATCAAACATACATAAAGCTCAAAACAAGGGGGAACTTTGGGAAGGAGTGAATGAAATTATCTGTCTTCTGGCCACTGAGTCCTAATTTTCATGTCAGTTTCAGACATAATTTTTAACTTATTTTTTAAACTCCCCTTTGAACTTCAAAAACATCCCATCCTGCTGGGTTTGGTGGTGCACACCTGTAATCCCAGCTGCTGAGGCAGGAGGATCGCAAGTTTGAGGCAAGCCTAAGCAACTTAGTGAGACCCCATCTTAAAATTAAAACAAAACAAAAAGGGATGAGGATATATCTCAGTTATAAAGCTCCTCTGAGTTCAATCCCTAGTACCCAAAAAGGAAAAAAAAAAATCCCATCCCATTTCACTTTCCTGTATCCTTCAGTTAATTCAGTTAATTTCCTGTATCCTTCAGTTAATTCCCACTTTTGGTTCTGTGCCCATAAGCACATCATTTTTTGTTTGAGGCTCTGTCTTCTCCTTACTGTTTCCCACTTAGTAAAGCTGCTGTCCTCTGTGAGCATCCCTGCAGTCCCCTCAACCCCAGAAAGGGCCACTCAATGCTAGAACGTCTGCGCTGGAGTTGCCAACATCCTACCTCCTTCCTTCTCTTATTCTTAAACACACTCTCTCTCCCTGATATTCCACATCTATACTTACATGAACATGCATGCTTCCATAATGATGCACACACACATAATCTTAATAACAGTAACATATATCAAATACTAGCTGCATAGCCCAACTGCTAAGACTTTATTTTTTTTCTTCTTCTCAAATCCATTTTATTTATTTATTTTAATTAGGTATATATGACATTTTGATTCATTGTACATAATTGCAGTACAACTATTCATTTCTCTGATTGTACATGATGTAGCATTGCACCATATGTGCAGTCAAATGTGTACCTAGGATAATAATGTCCAACTCATTCCACCATCTTTCCTGGACCCATACCCCTTCCCCTCTTTTCCCTCCCTTTTGCCCAACCAAAATTCCTCCATTTTCCCCATTCCCGCCCACCTATTATGGATCAGCATCCACTTATCTGAGAGAACATTCTGCCTTTGGTTTTTTGGAATTGGCTTACTTCACTCAGCAAGATATTCTCCAACTCCATCCATTTACCTGCAAGTGCCATAATTTTATTCTCTTTTAATGCTGAGTAATATTCCATTGTGTATATATACCACAGGCTTCTTTATCCATTCATCTGTTGAAGGGCATCTAGGTTGCTTCCACAGTTTAGTTATTGTGAAAAAAGCTGCAATAAACATTGATGTGGCTGCATTACTATAGTAAGCTGATTTTAAGTCCTTTGAATATAGTGGGATAGCTGGGTCAAATGGTGGTTCCATTCTAAGTTTTCTAAGGAATCTCCATACTGCTTTCCATATTGGTTGTACCAATTTGCAGTCCCACCAGCAATCTAAGAGTGTGCCTTTTCCCCCACATCCTCACCAACACTTATTGTTGTTTGTATTCTTGATAACTGCCATTCTGACTGGTGTGAGATGAAATCTTGGAGTAGTTTTGACTCCAAGATTGCATTTATCTAATTACTAGAGTTGCTGAACATTTTTTTATATATTTGTTGATTGATTGTGTCTGTTCATCTCCTTAGCCCATTTATTGATTGAGTTGTTTGTGTTTTGTTGTTAAGTTTTTTGAGTTCTTTATATATCCTGGAGATTAGTACCTTATCTGACGTGCATGTGGTGAAATTTTGCTACCAAAATGTAGGCTCTCTGTTTACCTCGTTGATTGTTCTTTTGCTGAGAAGAAGATTTTTAGTTTGAGTCTATCCCATTTATTAATTCTTGATTTTATTTCTTTCACTTTAGGAGTCTTGTTAAGGAAGTCAGGGCCTAATCTGACATGAAGAAGATTTGGGCCCATTTTTTCCTCTCTTAGGTGCAGGGTCTCTGGTCTAATTACTAGGTCCCTGACCCACTTTGAGTTGAATTTTGTGCATGGTGAGAGATAAGGGTTTAGTTTCATTTTACTGCATATGGATTTTCAGTTCTCCCAGCACCATTTGTTGAAGAGGCTTTTTTCTCCAATGTATGCTTTTAGTGCCTTTGTCTAGTATGAGATAAATGTATTTATGTGGATTTGTCTCTGTGTCTTCTATTCCATACCATTGATCTACATGTTTATTTTGGTGCCAATACCATGCCATTTTTGTACTACAAACTATAGCTTTGTAGTATAGTTTAAGTTCAGGTAGTTAGACTTGAAACAGATTATCTTATTGAATCCTCCCTAGCATCCCATAACTTCCCTAGGGTTTCAAATCTTGTGAGCTCAGGTTGGTCTAATCCCAGGACTGGGTTTCCTTACTGTGATTGCTTCTCATATTATAAAGTCATATATATGCTATAAGTACATCTACATAGTTTCACTGTATACATCCATACTTTCATATATAAATCTGTCGTATACACACCAACTGATCCAAGGGCCAATCCAAGACAAGTTGATAAAGTTAAAAAAGGAGAATTGCTGTCCATCCATAGTCTATCCAACTTAATGGCTCCTTCAAGCCCCTGCATGATCAGTAGTCTCAAAAATCTTCAAACTCTTCTATCTCTTAGAAAATCCAATCAAACTAGCTCAGTCCCAGGAAAGCAGGATAAATCCCGTGAGTTACTCTTTCCTAGGATACTTGGCAATTGGAAATTCAGACCGATAAAATTGTGATGGGAGAATTTTGGGCACTAGTGAAGGACAGAAAATTTACACCGAAAGGGAGAAGGGTTCTTTTAGTGCCTCTCAAATCACACCTGTAGGTGGTCCCCAGTACCACCCACATATGAGGATAGTCTTGAGAAAACATTTTCTTTTGAAGTTTAGGAGAAGGAGGGGAGTTTTAAATGGGGATTACACCCCAGCTTAGCTGAATGCTAACTTGGCATCAAACTAGACAAATGTTTAGTCCTTAAAAATAAAAAGGTGAACTCCACATGCCGTGCCAGACCCCAGGACCCCCACTGTACCCACCCTGCCAATACTTCTATTCATATTTGTACAGTTATGCAGTAGTTACAGGCTGCATTCTTTGTTTCTTTCTCTTTCTTTCTTTTTGAAATAACTGATGTTTTATTTTGGAGGTACAAACCCAAGGCATTAGGAAAGAGAAAAAGGAAATGAGGCAGGGAAGATGGAAGGTAACACAAGACAATGCATTTCCAAGCTGGACACTGCTTCATGACAAGCCTTGAGGAGGCCCAGCAGGTGTGTACACTGGCTACTTGGGAATCTCCCCATCGGCTGTTCTGTTAGGGAAGAGCAGTGCCTTGGAGCAATTCATGGAAGAGAGAGAAGGCAGAATTGATCTGCATGTGTCTCTCTTACCTTCCCCTTCCCATTAGTTGAAATTTAACCCCATGAGCATGAAATGCCCCATACTTCAAGATTGCTGGGGCTACATGGATGCTGGACCGCATGCCCTGTGGTGGACATTCCATCTAAGTCTGGTAAGAGAAGACAGAAACTCTGGGCATATGGATGATGAGTACCAAAGAGAATTTGATGCAATATATATGACATGTCCAACACAAGCCAGTACTGTCTTTCTCATTTTCTAGAAGAGGAAATGAGGTGTAGTGATCAAAGATCCTTCCTAAGGTTACCTGGCTCCTGAGTGGAAAGTTCAAGATTGGAATATAGTCTGGCTCTGAAAACTAAAAGACCAAACCTTATATTTTATGTAGCAGGCAAAGGAGAGTCACTAAAAGGTTTCAAGCTGCAGAGTGACATAAGATAGAGAGCTTTGAGATAAAGCTCTCAATCTCTACTGTGGTCTGTCTTCCCATTGGGCTAAATGGCAAAAGTAGGTGTAAAGTAGGTGTCCCCAGAGAGGCCAGGGCATCCAAGTTTTTGAGAAAACTGATGAAGTCCAGAGTTTCATCTGGGCTTTGGCATGGCCTCTTAGACTTTATCTTCATCTAAATCAAAGAGGCAAGTTGATTGGAGGCAGGAAAGACCTGGGTAGAAAGCCAAAATGAGAGGAAGGAGAGATGAACCTAAAGACCAGGAGCAAGAGGACCATCTCTTTGTCCTGTGTTGGCCTGTAAGTCTGGGGATCCTGGTAACCGCTGATGAATCCTTTGGTGTTGGCGGTGATGGCCAGATTTCATGAACTGTCAGCCTCATCGACCACATCTGTATGGGGGATATCTGGTGTTCATCAGAAGGGAAAAAAAGACCACACCCAGCCTTCCCTATTGCATCTGTACAGCTTCTCACTTCATTTGCATTGTGTCTGGGTACTTCAGCAGACACCAACAGGGTCCTTAACATCTCTGTGACCCCAGGAAAGTGTGACTGTCTGATGGGCCATGGTTCAGGGAGGTGTGCACTCCATTATTTCTACAAGACAGAGATATATCCAATAAGGAGATTGATATTGTCTATTGTACTTACAGAGTCTGACAAAGGCTCCAATAAATAAGTTTTTTTTTTCTCCCTGTCCTTTCCACTGACTTGCTAACTGTCTGTGATTCCCAGACTACACATACCTCTCCCTAAGAAGTTGCCTGGAACACTTGGACCCCCAGCCTCCAACACAGGTTGTAATGCCCATGGAATGCTAACCCCAGGCTGCAGTCTTTAGTAACACTATGTGATATTTATGAGATTCTGATGCTTCTGTTTACATGTTGATTTATGTAAAAAAATAAAAAAGCAATTCTGATCATATCGTACCCCTATTCAAAATCCTTCAGGAAGCCGGGCATGGTGGCCACCCCTGTAATCCCAGCAACTTGGGAGGCTGAGGCAGGTGAATTGCAAATTCAAGCCCATCCTCAGCAATTTAGCAAGACCCTGTCTACAGATAAAAAATAAAAAGGGCTGGGATGTGGCCCAGTGGTTAGGCATCCCTGGGTTCAATCCCTGGTACCAGAAATAAGCATACAAACAAACAACAAAACCCCCGAAATCCTCCAGTAGGTTCCCGTTTACCATAGGATAAAAATGTAAAATTTTTTTCTGACCTATTCGCCTCTGTATGTCCTGGAGTATCTGTCTCAACCTGCACTTCATCCTCCCCTCACTCCCACTCCAGATGTGCTGGCTTCTCTTCATTCTCAGGACAGTTAAGTTTTTCTGCCATAGGATATTTGTTCATGCTCTTCTTCCTGCTTCCAACACCCGTCCTAGTAACTGTTTTATTTTCAACTCTTCTTAAGTATCCTTTTCTTCCTCCCTTTGCCTTTTTTACCCTTTTCTCTGCAAATCTGGGCTTAAATGTCTCTTCCTCAGGGAAGACCTCCTTGATTTTTCAGGAGTAAGAAGTTTGTCGTCTCACCCTTCTCCTTCTTGACAGTTATCACTAATGTAATTCAACAACTTTATAATCTTTTATTTAATGCCCAACTCTCCGAACGGACTGTAGGAGAGCACGGCACTTATGTGTCTTGTCATTGTTCTGTCTGCATAACAGAACACTAACTAACACTGTGACTGGCACTTGGTGAATCTCGATAAGTATTCCTTGAATGTGCTTATGAATGCATGAATGGTGTTCTTAAATATTTGAGTGTGGGCAGATGTATATCAAATTGTTAGTAGTGGTTTTATAGTTCTGGTGCCGCTTTGAATGTCCTCAGCTCCACCTCTAACATAAGGTAAGTTTTACCAAATTTGGGTCTCTCCTCAAAACCCTGCCATGAACTAAAAAGTGCGTGGATTATCATTGGGAACTTGCTCAGAGGTGCTTGACCCAGAGGTGTGGATCATCTTTGACTGATGGGCAGTGTGTGAATAAATGCTCCTTTTCATCCTTTGGGATGGTCCTGAGATTTCATAAGGCTCCTTAGAAGATCCCACGATGAGCACCACTTGCTCATAAGGTACTGACACAATAACTCATCCTTGGATTAGCTCTCCCTCAGCTCCTGTTTCACAAACCCATCCCTAACTCCTGCTCCCAAATTACCTTCAAGGAAGCCTACTCTAAATTACAAAACAAACATGCAGATAACTTTTGTAGATCAAATTATTTATTGGAATTATAACTTTAGAGATTCAGTGTTTTCAATTGACTGGCTCTCAGCCTTTGACGTTCTCAGGATCTCTGCTGTAAAGTTAACCATTTGTAATCCAATCCTTAAGTTCCTTAAGGGTCCCTCCTAGGAGGACAGGTGGTTGGAAATATGAAGTGTGAGGGCTGCTTGTTTGTCAAGTCTCTCTGACTCTCACTATATTCTTGGTGGAGGCCATGGTCTCTACTTCTTGCTCTCTTCCTTTAGTACCTAGTATGGACGTGGATGAATGTTTTAATATGTAACTAAAGCTCTGTTATCTGCCGACATGAGTTGACTTTGCCCATGTGACTTGATTTTCTAGTGATACAAGGGAACCTTTGGAACTATTCAAGGACTGGGACAAAGGGAGTGGTCATCTTTCCAACAGTGGAAATGAAGGAAGGCAGAACAGCAGGGGGTGGATGGCTGTGGGACATCCTGCCTTTGAAAGACGCAGGCCTGGAATGAAGTTAATTGTGAGTTTTCCTCTGCAATCAGGAGGATGTTTGCAGGCAAGGAGTGGACCAGAGGGTGCTCCTCTGCAACCACCAGCCCTAGGGTAAAGTGATCCAAACTGGTGCTGAGGACAAAGAGCCAGGGTACATTTTCTGGTACATTTAAGTTTAATGAGAAACAGTTTGATCCAGCAATCAAGAGCATGACTTTGGAGTCCAATAGAACCGATCTAAATCCCAGCTCTGACAGTTAACAGATCACCTGGGCAAATTGCTCCATTCCTCTCTCTCTCTCTGATTCCTCATGTATAAGATGAGGTTATTAAGAGCACCTATTTCACTAGGTTGTTCAGAGGAGTCAAATGTGGTGATGCATACAATAAATGCTTAATAGATTCAGGATTCATCTCTTTTTTCTTCTTTTTTGGTAAGCAGATCTCATGAAAGAACCAGGAGCCAGAGGGTTCTCACTCTAACCCCTACAAAACCTGAGGAAGAACATGCAGGTACATGTGGTTAGTTCTTTATCCACCAGAACACTCTTAACACAATGTATCCTTAATCCATCTTTATGTCTTTTTTCCATAATCACATACTTTTAAAGAATAGCAACTCACTTTCCTAATTGAAATAACTTATTTTAAAAGGAAATTAAAAAAAAAAACACTTCTGTAAATGAGAAACCAGTTTCACTTGCTGCAGTTTGAAGGTGAAAGTAAATACATATTTGATTAAAGTAATAGAATACCATTGAATTCCAGTCAAATGCTATTGTCTTCCTAGACCTAAACATGAGGCCTGAGCAATTTGTGTTAAAAAGGGAGAATTAGCAAGAGTTAGAGAGGCATTAAAGACTAGCCCTAAACATAAGCTTTCTTTTTAGCACAATCATAAGAGGAAGGACAAGGGAACAACTTTCCCACTCTGATCCAGTTATTCACTTTTTGTCCTGGGTATCCCAGGCTTTGGAGAAACTATGCTCCAGTGTATCATAAAGAATCAAGAAGACAGAAACATTTTTTTTTTTTGTATCACAAACAGTGATTTTTATCCACCTTCAAATCTGGTGAAAGATTCTTGCATTCTTGATTTTCAGTTGAGAAAAATAATCTATGACTTATATTTGTATTATTTTTCCTACAGGAGATTAGAAAGGCATTCTAAAGGCAGCTTTATGAGAAGAGAAAGTAGGTTCTGTTAATAGAAAATAATTTGACTGGTGAAACCCAAGTAAAGCCTGTGGTCTAGTTAATTGTATTGTGCCAATGTCGGTTTTTTTGTTTTTATAATATATTATAGTTATATAAGATGAAGCTAGGTGAAGGTACAAGGGACTTCTTTGTACCATTTTTTTTTGCAAATATTATGAGTCTATAATTATTTCAAAGTAAAAAAATATATATAAAAATTAAATTCAGTGTATAGCCAAAGCCACAAAAATATGCTGCTGGGAGCCATTAGCCAAGTAGGTATGACAATTTCCTTGCCAGCGTACCCCATGTTGCTTAGTGGAAGGACTCCTGGAAATAGGACATTTTGCAGTGACATTGCATGTAGGTTACCTTGCTCAAGGACCAGGGTGTATCCGGGTTTAGGGTGGTTCCAAGTTTAAGGTTATTCCTGCTGGGAATAGGGCGTATCCTGCTGCCTGAGTTCCCCTTGAGTTCTTACCGGATTCAGACAGTATTTTTTGGGAGACAGAAGCCCAGTGGGGATGGATTTGGGCAGAGAACGTGGATTTCTGCAGAACGTGATTGTAGATGGCTGGTGTGAGTTTGGGAATAAAGAGTTGCTGTTTGAATCTACAAGCTGTGTGGTGGCTCGTGATTTTGTGCCCAGCCAGACTGCGGCATTTGTGCCCAGTCAGACTATGGCAATATGCCCCTTTGAGTTGGGCATGGTGGCACATGCATATAAATCCAGTTAATTGGGAGGCTGAGGCAGGAGGATGGTAAGTTCCAGGCCAGGCACAGCAATTTAGCAAGACCTTGTCTCAACATAAAAAAAAAAAAAATAAAATAAAAAAAGCTGGGGATGTAGCTCAGTGGTAAAGCATCCTTGAATTCAATCCCCAATATTGCAAACAACAACAACAAAGTCCCTTTGATCCTTAAATAACACTTGTGGAAGTTTGTACTAATATAACAGAAATGTACTTAAGTATATTCCTTGTAGCATCACTTATAATAGTGAAAAGTTCAAAATAACCTTATTGTGCAACAATAGAAGAACAGATAAAGACACACACACACAGATTATGTATCTATATAATATGGGAATGCTATAAAACTATTGAAATGATATGTATGTATATATATATATATATATATATATATATATATATACACACACACACACACATATATATAATATGAAGAACATTTACAATTAAGTGGATATAGAAACTTTTAACTTACAGGTTATTTAAGAACAATGACAGATATATAATTTGGGACTAGAAGAATGTATGCCAAAATGTCAACAATGGCTGTTTCTGGGAACCAGGCTTGTTAGCTGATTTTTATTTTTTTCATCATGCTTATGTACACTTGTAATTTTTCTATAATGAACATATATTACTAGTTTAATACATTTTAAGAAAAGATCATGAAAATAGTTTAAATCATTATAAATTTACTAAAACAGTTACAATGAGATATTTAAGTCCTATATAAATTATAATAATTAATATTAATAATAAATAATAATTATAATCCTGTGGATTATAATTGATCTATAGATGTTATAGTTTGGATTTGGAATGCCCCTCAGAGCCTCATTTTGAAAGCATGGTCCCCAGTGCAGCAAGGTGCAGAGATGGGGCATTTGACTGGGCAGTGATTGGATCAAGAGGGCTCTGACCTCATCAGTGGACTTATCAATCCATTGATTGCTGAATGGGCTACTGGTAGGCTAAACCTAGTTGGATGAAATAGATCACTGGGGACATGCTCTAGAAGGGTTTATCTTTTCTGCAGCTTATTTTCCCCCCTAGCTCCTTCCTGGCTGCCATGAACGGAATGCTTTCCTCCTTTATACCCTCCTGCCATGATGTTCTGCATCACCTCGGGCCCAAAGAAATGGAGCCTCAAACCTCTGAAATGGTAAGACAAAACAAATCTTTCATCCTCTAAATTGTTCTTGTCAGGTATTTTAGTAACAGCAACAATAAGCTGACTAACACAGTAACTATTTAAAAAAATTATTTCAAAGCTCTGAAATTATAGTAAGTCAATGTTAATCCATAACAGATACTGTCTGTGCCTTAAAAAACAAACAAACAAAAACACAAAAAACCCAACCCTGTGCTCATTTTGCTCCTAACTGGTCTTCCCTATCATCTTTTACTGTTTCCTTTCTGATGAAATTGGTAAATATTTTGATTCAAAACCATTAGCAGGATTCAACCTTAATTCTTATTAAATCCAGAGCAAGTCTATGCAAAAGCTGACAATTTGCCCGGACTATTGGGTAACCATAATCTTGTACTCTTGATCACACAGGTGGGAAAATTGCAAAACTCAGTAATTCCCCAAATGCTTTAGTCCTAGATATCTTTCTTCAGAGGCAGGTCTGGTATTATATGATAGAATACATGAAAAACATATGTTTCTTTTTATTTTTTTCAGAATTAGAATTATTTTTCTATTACTGGCTAAATAACATTTAAAACATGTCAAATAAATTAGTTATTTTGGGGGGCTGTGATGGTGCTAATTACCTACCAATTATATGATATGTTATATTCACTTATTATCATATATAGTTGGTTTCTTCTACACAATTTTTGTCTCATAGTGCAGGAACCATGCCTGTATTGATCATTGTGGCTGACACAAGTGCCTAGTAAATATTTGATGACTGAGGGGAATGACTCCTTTGTGTTTGGAATTCTCACTGAATTCTAAGGAGAAAGCTTGGGACTTGGAATCTGGAGACATGCTTTGGACACTCAGCTCTACCATTAAGAACTTTTGTGAGCTTTGTGTTCAATAGTTCCAAGCCCCGTCCATAAAAATATGATCAGTAATATATACTTAAGCTTTTCATAAGGAATACATTTCCCAACATGTCAGCAGCACTTAGAGCAGTGTCTGCTATCTTAGAGCAGATCTGCTATCTGCAGGTGCTCTAGAGATATAAGTTGACAATACTAATTTTTCTTTTTGTTGTAGCTGCAGTTTATCTCTTTTTGATATCATTTCTGACCTCTTTAGTTGTCAAGAGCATAAGTTCTAAAGTCAGTTGACCTATGCCACCCCATTTTTATGATTATTTTGTGTGTATATGGTACTGGGCATTGAACTCCATAGAGTGCTCTTCCACTGAGCCATATCCCCAGTCCTATTCTAAAAGAAAAAAAAATTTTTTTTTCAAGACAGACTCTCACTAAATTGCCCAGGTTGACCTTGAACTTGTGACCTCCTGCGTAAGCCTCCCTAGTAGTTGGGATTACAGGTGTGCACCACTGCGCCTGGCTTTACCACTTTATTAAATAAGAGTGTGACCTAGAGCAAATCACTTTAACACTCTGTACTTGGTTCTCATCTGAGAAAAAAGACGATGGTAATAACAACACTTATCCCATAGGATTATTGTGAGCGTACATCGAGAAGATGCTTATAAAATGCTTCAAAGAGTGTGACAGAGTAGCGCTCAGCAAAGGTTAGCCATTATCCCCTTGCCAGGGCTCTTATTATCTATCATGTTGCATCTAAAGTACAGTTTAAAACTGAGCCCAACTCCTGGCTTCTCTTCCTGAAGCAGTTATCATTCTGATTTGGTCACTGCATGACTGTCAACTCACAGAGAGCTGCCCCAAGGCCTACGTGGTCATGGGCACTGTAGCATCTTCAGAACTTTAAGAGGGATGGGGTTGGTTATTATGCTAGAATAAATAATAACAATTAGCATTATTTTGTGTCAGATTCTGTGCAAAGAACCCTAACCCTGTTATTACCTAGTCTTGCAGATGAGGAAGTGGAGCCATTTGGAGATGATGCTTTGGTCCATCAGTGCCCAAGGAACCCAGGATTTAGATCCAGGCAGTCTGCATTCTTAACCCTCATGTCTCCCATTTGCTGCATCTATGATATTTAAAAAGATGTTCAATACCTTTTTTGCATTTTGATCCTAGATTTATATTTTTAGTTCTATTTAATAAAGCTCAAACCATGGAAACATGAGCAGCCTTCTCAGGGTAATACCAGGTTAATTTATAAGAAGTATAAAGGGAAATAAGCCTGAAACAGAAAGAGAGAGAGTATGGGAAGAATTTCTTTTTGAGATAAAATAATGAGAAATGCTCAAATTAAATAAAGGCTAGGCAATACATTTTAGTAAAATTCCTTTGGTTTGCAATAACAAATAGAAAATTCTATAGAGATAACCAGAATTGTCTCATTTTGTTTTCATGCCCAATTTATGACTGAATTAAAGTTTCAAGTTAAATTCAAAAACTTATTTGTTCTGTTAAGTCTGGCTCTTCCATTTGTGATATTACCGTTGTGGCAATGAACTATGGGTGGACTAGGAACACAGGATTATCGCTGCTGAAGAAGAGGGCTAAAGTGGTGGGCAGTTTACCTCTCCAGCCCTGTCTCTAGCCTCAGCCTCTCCTTGCCCCTGCTTGGGGCTAACCATGACTGGGATTCTAAACCAATTTCAGCATTTTTATATTGTCTAATAAAAATTTAAATATACATTCCCCCTTTTTAAAAAAGTTTTTATTTTTTAGTTTTTTTTAGGTGGACACAATATCTTGATTTTGTTTTCATGTGGTGCTAAGGATCAAACCCAGTGCTTCACGTATGCCAGGCGAGCGCGCTACCCCTTGAGCCACATCCCCAACCCTAAATATACATTCCCTTTTATTCAGCAATTCTATATATAGAAATTCACTCAAGAAAAATACTCACAAAGACATATATGTATATATATATTCATATATATCTATTAACACATATATATGTATATATAGGTATATATTTACATAAATGCACACTCTTTCACACACACATATATGTATATGGTTTACTGTTAGTGAAAATATGTGGTGCTACTGTAAATATTCATTGGGAAAGTACTGGTTATAAATACCATTACACATATAGACCCTGCCCCATATATACCATACAGAGGAATATGTAGGTAGAATTGTATACATTAATAATAAATAAGCTGGACACAGTGGCCAATGGCATCTGTAATCCCAGCAGCTTGGGAAGAAGAAACAGGAGGATTGCAAGTTCAAAGCCAGCCTCAGCAACTTATCGAGGCCCTAATCAACTCAGTGAGATCTTGTCTCCAAATAAAATACAAAAAAGGCCTGGAGATGTGGTTCAGTGATTAAGTGCCCCTGAGTTCCATCACCAGTACTAAAACAAAAAACAAAAAACAAAAACCAATAAATATAATGGAAAAGAGAAGATGGTAGTCAGTGCTCTTAATGCTATTTAGAAGGGTTTTATAAGGATATATATTAGTGATTGTAAACTCCAGTGCATGTAGATGCTGGACTGGCTTGGTAAGTGGGCCAGGTAGGGGCTGTGACTACCTTGAAAGCATGCCTCATGCTAAGTATCTGGCACCAGTCACCTTCACCTCGTTATTGCTAATGGGGTGGTAGATCTTTGGATTTTCTAAGAAAAGTTGAAAATCACAGTATTTTTCATTCTAGTTTCTGATAGTCTATTTATTTCCTATTCTTTTTCAAAGCTGGGAGCCTCATGAAAGCATCTCAGTTGTGAAGCATTTGAATTTTAATTTTGTAGCAACTAACAAAACTGCTGTAAAAACCATATTGTATGTGGCCAACTGTGAGTTGACTCTGTGTTACAGGTTCATTATACATCAGCCTTCTAAAAACTAAACTAGGGCTGTTCCTGGAGAATCACATTATGGGCCAATACCAGGGTATAGTCTTCCATTGTTTACTTTATACACTGCTTTATGCTTGAGTTAGAGTTGTCTATAATACTTTACTGCTTCTATAATTACCCTCACCCCTGCTCTTAAATACATAGAACATATTTACACTGGCCTTATGATATGAAGGTTTGAACCAAACTAAACTTCCAGACCATTCCAGATAGGAACTAGTTTTAGGACTCTAACCTAGCTTGGGTTTTGTTACCAATCTTAAGAATCTTGACTTTGGTGAACAATGCTGGACTCCTCTAGATAATGAAAATGGGTTCATCTACATCATGTGCAGGACTGAATTTCTGCAGCCTTGAGGTGATTCTGGCCATGTTGGACTGTATGAGTCCCTGGGAATGGAAGCAGTTTGAAAAAAAAAATTGTTTTCAGTACTGGGAATTGAACCCAGGGGAGCTCTACCACTGAGCTACATCCCCAGCCCTTTTTATTTTGAGACAGAGTCTTGCTAAATTGCTAAGCCTGGCCTTGAACTTGTGATCCTCCTGCCTCAGCTTCCTTAGCAGCTGGGATTATGGGTGTGTTCCACTGTTCCTAGGCTAGAAGCCACTTTTTAAATGTGTTGGGAGAGAACAATCATAGCTTTCACTTCTAGGGTGTACTTGGAGCCTGTGGACAAAATGAATACCTAGGTGAATGAATGATCATTCATTTGTTCATTTATTCATTTATTCACTCATTCATTCAACAATGATGCTCCGAGTGCTTATTATGTGACTGGTCCTGTGCAGGGCTCTCATGACAATGAGATACTTTCATGAAGCTCCTTGCTTTGGTGGTGACCCAGGATTAAATTGACTACCATGAACCAGCATGAAAGTACTATGATGAAGGTCAGTACAGGTTACCTTGGGAGTCCCCACTGTGGTCAAGGAAGACTGTGGCAACTGTGCTGAGTTTGAAGGATGAGTAGAAATGGAGAAGGATTCTGGCCTGAGAATCCTATAGTTACAAAGGACTGAGGATGGGGGGACTTTCTGGGGACTGTCTGTATATTGCCCACCCAGGGCAAGGGGTGTGTAGTCGAAGTATCAGACTTTGGGGATGGACTGTAGGTGGACAGCCACCTGATCACAAAGTACTTGGCAAAGAGCCTGGGATACCTGGGCTCCATCCTGAAAGTGACCAAGAACCAGTCATAAGTTTTAAGCTAGGGAGTGACAGA